TCAAATTATGATTAAATATTTCTGTGACAAGGACATGCTTGGTACCAAAGTAATTTACCGTGTCAACGCAAGTTGCAGCATTTCATGTGATTTTAATATATTGTTAAAGTCAAAAACTGTCAATTGATGTAAACTATATTCACCACGTTTCATTTGCTGTGGCAGTTGGTTCAATAAATGCTGAGCACTGCTGATAGAGAACCCGAAGTCTTCATCGTAGTATTCGTTGCACATACCTTTGATATAGAGAAAAATAAATCACAACGGGCGATGCCATTCCTATTGCTACTACTTACTTTTAATGCTGAAATTGTGATATGTTTGAACGTAATCCTGCACGCCATCAACCACTGTACATATGATTTTATCTGCGCTCAATTCATAATTGCTATGTATCTGCCCTATTAAGGACTGAATTTCATTGTTAGTCGGCATACTACTGAGCCTAACGCATGATAACACTGCCATCTGGCGCTTAAGTTCATTATCTAACCAAAAACCACAGTAGCCAAAGTAGTGTTTATTTCGACTAGTCCAAATATCAGCCGTTACACAAATGCACCGTACATCCAGCAGGCTGCGCTTTATATTTTCTACAAAGCATGTATGCGACTCATCCAGACGCGCAAGTAGTTGCGATGAGGAGCACACTGCTAGGCCGGTGCCTTGAAAAAGTTCAATGAAAGATGGCTCTTCCACTACAGAGACTGGTACGTTGGATAACAAAATGAAATTCAAGAGTTTTTCAATAAATGGCATTGTGGTTGGCTGTCTAGTAAGTGTGCGTCGGCCTCTTATGTTGCTGTGGAATTTTTCTTGTACATACATATTATACTCCTTAAAATGATGCGAACGCAAATGTTGCACGAAATTTGATGTCACTTTGAGTGGACCTTTTACCAACTTATCAGTGTCGCAAAACTGGCAGGCAGCTACAACGCTGACAGAAGCGCGATGACTATTCATGTCCTGATACAAAAGTATTTGCCATTAAAAAATGATTTTTTATTCATAACATTTCTTACTTGCTCAACAATTTTAAAGTATTTTCCATTTAGTATGGTAGGTATGTCATTTGGATCGCATGTTAGTTGGCAAGAGGGCAAACTAATTTTTTCCTCCTGATCTCCTGATAAATGAGTATCGTTCGATTCAGCGTCGGTATTGCTATAAAATTTGTTATTGAAAAGAAGGCCATTATTAGGAAAAAAAGGGCCATTTTATCAATTAGGTTTTAAAATTTAACTGGCCGTCAAACACAAATTTTGTTCGGGAACAATGTTTGAAGGGCAGATAAATTTGAAAACCTACTTGAGGAAACGGCGCAAAATTTTAAATATTCGAGTATCTTAATTTATTTAGCACATCGATGGTCCTTTGCAATAACGACGCAATTTTCTGTAATACTTTTTTAATTAATGTCTATTCCTTGCTACTTACTGTAGTAATCCTTACTACTTAATTTAGTAAGGCTTAGACAGTGATTAGCCAAGGATTAAAGACGTTAGTCACTATGTACATCCATATCCTTACCTTTATATAGAAAGGCCCCGTCTCACATCGTCGCTGAAATACAGAAATCTGTAAGTAAAAATCCTAAATTCACTTTTTGATTCATTATGATGCATTTCATCGAAGTCTAGTGTTTAGTTAGTTACGGCTTTTTTGCAATTCAGCGACGATGTGAGATAGGGCTTTTCTATATTAAGGAACAATATACATATATAAATATTATTCCCCTCACTCACTCTGCATTATAAGAATTATTCGCTGACGAAGGTTGAGTGTCATCGTTGTATGCAGAAGCACCTTCTGGGTACTGCGCATTAGTTTCGCTATCAAAGTATCCTTCTAATCGTGAACAGTTTCCATACTATGGATGCAAAACAAAAGAAGCATAAAATTAATCAATGTAGCTGCAAACTTATTTACCTGCCCATCAAGTGCAAATTTGCGTTTTTGACCCCTCTTTGGTCGCTGCAAACGAGCATAGTTTTGCCTATCAGTTACAAATTCTTTGTATTTTTCTGGATGAAGAGTCTTCAAATGTCGAACGAAATTCGAAGTTATTCTCATGGATCCATGTATCGGCCTTGCTTTTTCACGGGAGCAATGTTGACAAACTGCTACAATGCCCCGTGTGGCACGCTGATGTTCTGTAGCGTTTATCTATTACATATAATTCATAATATAAAAAACTATAGCTATGAGAGGCCTTAGAACCTAGGATTACCTCTTCAACAATTTTAAAATATTTTCCGTTTACTATAACTGGTATGTCATCGGAATCGAATGCTTGCAAATCGGCTTCATTACTTTAATATGCAGATTAAATAAAACACTATTAAAGATATACATATATGAATCTAATCACCTGTCATCCACTTGAACCATTTGCGTACTGTTATTAGCATCATAGCCTGAAACGCCCGTATGATTATATTCAGCTTCTGGTTTAATATTGTATGTTGATTGATCATTAATACTCATTGGGTCGGGCGTATTGTGCACAAATGTCTGGTAGTTTACATATTGCCTATCGGAGTTTTCATGGAAACCGGTTTGAGTAGATACATATTGATTATACTGATTGTTATCCATTATTGGTACAGAGCTTGGAACGATAGTCTCAGACTCTATCTCGCAACTTTCCAATTTTACTAAAGTATTCGTTGGTTCAGTCTGTTTAAGGAAATAACACTGATATTTTAAATACGCAAAATGTATACATATGTACACATTGGCCGTGTAATACGGCATACATTTTGTACCTACCATTTCCGACTCTAGTGTTCTGCGCCTCTGACTTGCTCTTGGCTTGTTTTGACGATATTCTTCGTAGACCTGGGGGTGATGTTGTCGCATATGTCTTAACAAATTTGAGGATACCTTTCGAGGCGCTTTAATTACTGTCCTTCCATCTGGGCAATGTAAACAACGCGCACTTATAAAGTCTCCTGTACGTTGGTGACTTGTTTCAATATACTAAAATTTTTTTAAATTACTGCTTATAAATAATAACAAACTTTTTTTAATCGAACTCACCTGATCTACGATTTCAAAGTATTTTCCACTAAATATAAAAGGCTGATAAAGCGCTTGTTTTTTCATCTCTTATTTGTTTATTATAGCCACTTGCACTCATTTCGTTAAATGCTACCCAATTTATACATTTTATTTTTTTAACTCAGCCAAAGACGATATAATTTTTCCAGGTAGACCAATTCCAACAATTACCAACTAATTGTAATTGAATTGATTTATTTCGATGATTAATCAAAATGGCGATATGAATGGTTTATATCAGAGTTGCATTTAACAAATAATATCTAACAGAGTTACCAAATAACCGATAATTAAAAATTATTTGGAGGTTTGCCAAGGGATTGCGAAATAATCTTCTAAACTATAACATCGAACACAAAAAAAACAAGACTTTAAAGTAGCAAAAGAACTTGTCAGCCTTGTTAAGATTAGTAGCGTTCCAGTATTAATTTTTGCTGGCCATTAATTATAAAATAAAATAAAAAACGTGGTCAAAAACTGTCACCTTAGAATTTCTATCCTCTTGCAATTGAGGGATTCACAAAGGTGTCGTAAGAGTCGTATTGTTGTATGTGGTAAACTTTAAATGCTTAGAGAACTTGAAACGACAACCAACTATTATTTAACACCGCAAAAATTCATAGCATGACTTTGATGGTACTGTACGGACCCCTTTAATATACTTTTTAGGCGTTTAAAGTTTGCGACATACAACAATACGACACTTACGACACCGTAGTGAATACCCCAAATATTTTCGTCGAAAATAGCGTAAAATGCAAAGAATACCATTATTTTTTTATTTATTTTGTTACAATATGGCAACACTACAGATTTTTTGACGTTCACTGCCGCGAATGCAAATAGGGATGTTCCCTCTCGCACACTTGAACTTGAACTTGAAGCAGTTTTTCGATGAACAATACAAACTGACGACTACGCATCTGCTATTAGAGAATTGTCCAAACTGACGACTACGCTTCTGCTATTAGAGAATTCCAAATCAAATAAAAACGTACCAACAAAATATTTTAAACGCTTCATAGAAACAAAGAATGTTTAAACCAAATATACATTCATTTAACGCCTTTTAAATAAAAATCTTGTAAAAATATACATACAGTGATAGAAAAATAAATAGTGACACGACATTTTAACATTTTTTGCCTATTCTTTTATTTATTTAATATTTATTATTTTTCTATAACAATATAGATCATTATCTACCAAACTCCATATATATTCTTATTTAAAGCATTGTGCAAAAATTATACAAATTCGGCAAAATTGCATCTAAACTTTCAACTTTTTTATCAGATTTTTTACAATTTTTTGAGTATGCAGTTTTATAGCCCATTAAATTTTAGTAGAATAAATTGTAAGGTTTAAGTTCCTAGAAAATTGCGTTGATTTTTGATCATTTTTGTTCTGAAAGCAATACGCACTTTTTTCCATAAAAAAAAATATGTGGAACATACTTCAAATTTCGTATACCTATTTATTTTTCCACCACTGTATATGTATTAAAAGCAGACAAAAAAGTAGTCAAGCATTTCACTTTCTGTATGTATTTTTATATCATGACAAAACTTTGAGAACATATAATATAATCTTTTACTTTTATTAAAGAACTGAGGGTTTTTACTTGTTATCTATTACTACATACGTTTAGTTTTTATCAGATTCCGAACACAACAATATTTGCGGATGAACATGGACTAGACAGTATAGTTTGAGTTATTTTAAAAAGGCTTGCAAACATCGGGTCGTTCAATTCGTTTTTAATTAATTTAAATTGTTCTCAATACTTGCATAAATTTAAACTTTTTTAACTTCTCGTGCTCCGGTAGAAAAAGACAGAACCATTTCTACAAGAAACCGGAATTGCCAACCTTGCAATGTAAAACAAATTTTGTCGAAGTAGTTTGTATGAAGTAGAGAAGGAATAAAGTATAAATAAGTAGAAGATTTTAACCAACGTATATATAAAACCAATCGACATATACACAGCGCTGCATTTCCAAATAGTACCAAAAAGGTCTATGTGGTGTAATGTACTTTTTGGTTTAAAATTGTACCAAAAAAGCACAATTGTGGCAACTTTATCATCAGAGATGTACATTGATATTTTTCGATACATCGAACGGCGTAAATCGATTCATCGATTTGCATATGATTTTTTAAATATCTAATATTTCGCAACAAAATATGTAATTAGGAAACTTGCATAAATTTGCCATTAACTGCTGGACTTTTCTGGCGTTTGGGATGCGATGTCATCGATGCATCGGTAGATCGACTATTTAAACATCGAGTGGAAAATTTTCGATGCATCAAAGCAAATCATCGAATTTTCGATGCATCGATGCTTTTCCGAAATCCCTAAGTGCAATTCACAACAATTGATTTTTGCGATCTGCGTCTTTGTACTTGCACAGCATTCAAGTTTGAAGAAAATTGGGGACAATGGCTACCGAAAAGGAGAAAATTGACAAATCTAAAATAAGCAACCAAGTAAAGCATGTGCCAAAGGATGCACAGGTCATAATGTCTATATTGAAGGAGCTAAATGTGCAGGACTACGAGCCGCGTGTTATCAATCAATTGCTAGAGTTCACTTATCGTAAGTGTGACATTTGTTATTTTAGCAAATAGTTTTTTAACTTGTTTAATTCTACAGGTTACGTGACTTGTATACTGGACGATGCGAAAGTATTTGCAAATCATGCCCGCAAGAAAACTATTGATTTGGATGATGTCAAACTCGCTACTGAAGTAGTGTTGGATAAAGCCTTCACATGCCCACCGCCACGCCATGTATGCAGTTATTTGTATATCTTTAGAAAGCGTCTTAATTTCGTATTTTCTTTTTTAAGGTTCTGGCCAAGCTAGCAGAGGTACGCAATTCGATGCCTCTGCCTCCTATAAAGCCGCATTGTGGCTTACGTCTCCCTCCAGACCGTTATTGCTTATCAGCTTGCAATTACAAGCTTCGTGCTGCTAACCAGCCTAAAAAAATGACCAAATCCGCTTTGGAATCCCGTTCGACAATTAAAACACAATTGAAGAATGCTAGTGGTGGTGGCGGTGGTGGCGTAGGCATAGCCAAACGTCAAACTGTGCTCGCTCCAAAAACGCAAGTAGTAACCATACCAAAGCCAGTGATAAAATTCACGACCACAACTAAAACGACATCGGTGAGCGGCTCCTCAGGCGTAAGCGGCGGTATAAACGTTAATAGCGGTGGAGCTGAAAGTGGTGATGTTAAAATGGAGGTTGATATGGACACCAGTGCATCTGCAGCAGTTGGAAGTATCGGTGGAGGCAACACAGGTGGCGATGGGGGCAGTGGTGGTGTCAAACGCGAGCGCGAAGACGATGAATTCGAAGTAGTGCAGTAGATTAAGTACAGATTTGAAGATCAATAAAAATGAGATCTTTTAAATTACGTTAATACAGATGGCTTGAAATTCTTTAATGAGTAATATTTTTGTTTATAGAAATCATATGAATATTTATGAAGCTTCTATTTGAGAGCGAGTATGATAGCACATCCTAAATCCATAATTTGAAGGTATTCCGATCCACCGTCCTGTAGGCGAAAGGAACATTCCTGTAAAGAAAACTAAAATAAGTACTTGCAACCCACTAATATGAGCTGTAGAGCTTACTCCAAGCTTGTCGCAAATGAGAGATTTCTGCTTATTTGTTAGTGTGGGACATCGGAGCACATACTCATTGAATTGTTCCAACATTTGCCCAATGCTGTAAGCTTCGTAACCTATCTGCCGCACAAAATCTTCCAGTTTTGTATAATTTCCAGATCGACATACTTCTAAAAATTCTTCAAGGTATCTATCCGGTATGATGCCCGACATTTCCAGTAAATCCTCAGTATTGATAACATTCGATGCCCCCTTTAGGCGATAACATGATTGTAGTGTAGTTATGGCTCGTCTCATATCACCACCCGATATCTGCACTATAGACTTGTATGCATTTTCATCGATTTTTACACCTTCCAGCTCGCAAATGTGCCGCAAACGAGTAATAATTTGCTCATCACCTAATGCCTTAAAACGGAATTTGGTGCAACGCGATGTGATCGGTTCAATGATACGAGATACGTAATTGCACATCAAACAGAAACGTGTGCTACGACTCTGCTTCTCCATAGTGCGGCGCAAGGCAGCCTGCGCGGCATGCGTCATCGAATCGGCTTCATCGAGTATGATAATCTTAAAAGGTGGGCATGGGCGACCATCTGGTCGTGTATTACTCGCAGTCAGTTGGGCAAAATTCTTGATTTTTGTGCGTACTACTGCAATTCCACGTTCATCTGAAGCATTTAGCTCTAATATACGTTCGCGATAGATATCACCGAAAATTTGGCGTGCAGCTGCTAATATTGTACTGGTTTTACCAGTTCCGGGTGGCCCATACAAAAGCATGTTTGGCAAATCTGCGCCTTCAACGCATTTGCGCAAAACAGCTACAACTTCTGATTGTTCAACGACATCGTCCACACTCTTGGGGCGACTGTAAGTTTAACTTTTCAAGTCAAAATATTAATTAATACTTCAGCATGCATTACTTACTACTTCTCAACCCAAGGAGCTGGCGGTTTACGACGCTCAACACTACCGGCTGCGGCAGTTGAAGAACCACCACTTGTACTGGCCTGTGATTTTTCATGTGTAGTAGTTTTGCCTGTTTTTAGAAAAGCCTGCATTTTTTGTTGATGAAAGGCCTATTTTTTATAATAAGCAGTGATATTTCTCTAAAAATACGAAAAATATTTGCACATAAACTGTCTGGCGCGATTTCCAATAAAATACTTTTACTACACTGGCTACAAAACTACTGAAAATGACAGTTGACACTGGCACCTAATACTAGGTTCAGATATAAGTAGATTATCCTCATTTTCGAGCTTAGGGTAGCTGTAATTAAAACAAGAGATTAGCAATATAAAATTCGTGCCTTGTTAATCGGTAATTATAACATAGTCTCAGATTTAACCGATAACTTTTCGGTGTCCATCCTAGTTTTATCGATTGTTTTTGCGAAAAAGAGGAGAAATGCCAAATGTAAAACTAAACAAAAATGGACGTTAGCATGGAAAAGAGGTTTGTAAAGGTATTTTTAATAAAGTTTTAAGTTAAAATACATATATTTATATTGCTTAATATCAGAAAAATGTGATCGTGAAAAGAAACATAATTTTTTCTTGAGATGTGAGAATAACAAGCACAACAAATTTGACAACTAATAATCTGAGATTTGCCTGTGTAAACGGGGTGATTAAAAAACGAGCTTTGATTGAGATAATATTGATATGTGAACATACTTTAAGCTTGCTGTCACCATTCGGTTTGAAACCAAAATGCACGACCAATGTGTAAATTTTCGATGGCAAATATTGTATGGAGGTATTGCATGATTCAATAATGAAAGGTTTTGTAAGAAAAACTTTCTCTCGCTCTAATTTTATCAATGACACTCCCACCCTACTCCTAAAAACAAAAACAGTGATATTTCTTTTCCAAATTTCTTTGCAAGTTTTAAGAACATTTTTAAATTGTTAGTAGTGAAATTTTTACTTTTTAAATTTGAAGAAATGTTTGTTCTGCATTCGCTGGCGCCAACAAGACAAAATGGGTGAGAATCGTTGGACTACAGAAATTCAATGTTAAGAGACGAAATTCCCTTAAATGCCGAAATGTATTTGTCGATATTCGTGGAGACCTCTTGATTCTGCCAAGTCGCTGTAAAGTAAAGCGTTCAATGAGCCAACGAAGGTATTTAGGTATTGTACTCCACGACACAGTCCTGGTGTCTCCGAATGAGATTTTGACGCAATATAACATTGCCAAACCGCATCCATAGGCCCAATCGTCACACGACAGCTCGGTTTAGTCAATGGCGCGATGTAATTGCACACTTAAAAGGTGTACGCACGAGGCGAATGTTGGCTGGCGACCAACTTTATTGCAAGCGATTAGCTGAAAGTAGAATGCAAAGTTGAACAATACAAACGCCTTTTTATGGCGAATATTTTAATATTTTTTTATATTTTGATATTTTTAGTCATTCAAATTTTTTTTCGTGCAACCCGGCGGGAGTTGAACGCAAAAGTTGCCTGAAAAATCGCCTCGTGCGAAAGCCCCATTACGCCACTTCTCATTTGACGATGTAGATCACGTTCCCTATCTCAGTCGTTCAGTAGCTGCGTGCTCTGAGTTCGTCCGGCACCAATCGCCAACTGCGGCTGTGCAAGCCAGTGTTGAATATTTTCCCCAGAACATAAAAAGTGCGACATCAAAGAATTCGAAACAATCGAGCCATAACCGCGAAAGAAACGTAAGCTCCAAATTTTTTTATTTGCCGTTTTTTTGTTTAATAAATATTGCATATTTTCCGCAAACAAATAGCTTCTTCATGTCCATCAACTGGCAAACAAATACAACAAAAAAAAAGCTGAAAGTGGACCATCCATTCTCGAGTTATGCGCCATCTGACGTACGCAAGTTTGGTATAAACATAGAAATATTTATTTTTAATAACAATAGGGGGTTATATTCGATGTAAATAAGCTTGTTTAAATTAAATAATTAAATCAAATTCGTTTTTGTTTTAAAATACCACCATTCACTATTATCCACACGTTTTTATAGAATTTAGCTCCCATTTTAGGAAGTGTGATTGAATTCTTCCCCTTTTTCTTCTGCTTCTAAAAACCATCCCTGTGGGTGGGAGTGCCAAATTTTAGAAAAAAGCTACTTACAAAACCTTTAATAATTGAATCATGGAGGTATTGCAGGTTTTAAAAAGGAAATAAGCAACAGTATTTTCTTTTTTTGAAAAGTTAACTTATATGTGTATATGTACATACATATATGGGTGTTTCCATGAAAATGTCAACCAGGACTGAAAAAATAAAAACAACGGAAAAGGGTTATTAAGACGAATTAATAAGAGAAAAATACTCGAATTTTTATATTATAGAAGTATTTCAGCTGAATGTCTCTTCGACTCAGTTTTCTCTAATCAAATGAACTATTTTCTCTTTCCTATTAACTAAATTAAGACATTTGAAACATTACAATTACATCTTAAAATCAAATTTGCAATAACAACTAACTATAAAAATGAGAAAAAGGAGAAGTTAGAGCTCGAATAACGGTAATTTTTTTATTTACTTCTGATAGTATTCTAATGTCGCGTACGTTATGCAAAAACATTGTTTGTCTATGTCATTTGTATATTGACAGTCGCAGGTAGTGCAGATTATAATTCTTATAGGTCTATTCTGCACGTTACCGAAGATTTTGTAACCGGAAAATTTTATTACCAAAAAATGTCACCAGTTCTTGTCACCGCGATTCTAGGAACGTTGGTAATGCAGTTAAAATTTTCAGCAATTCAGCTATGAAGAATTGTGGAAATTCTGGCATTGCATATTTCACGGGGTAATACCAGGGTTCGTATTTGCGCACACATGCTCTGCTCACACACACGCCAGAAACACATTCAACTTGTACTCACTGCTCATACACATGTGTGTGCATAAGTGGAAAACGAACTCTGCTCACAGAAAAGTGTGTGCTGTTTGTTATTAAGCACATGCTCATGTGTGTGAGCCGATTTTTGTACAAATTTCAGCCCATGCACATGCACATAATATATTTTTAAAAGAATTTGTTTATTAAACGTTATTTTTTGAAAGACAATTCAATAAAAAGTGAGATGTTGTTTGTTTTTTATGACAGAAAACTTTAAAAAAAATTATTTTAAGATTTGAGATAGAAATCGACGTGTATAAGTTTCTCTACGCAAAGCACACACATGTGCGTGTGCTTTATAATAATAAAAATAAAGTACACACATGAGCCCGTGCTTTTTACCAAACAGCACACACATGTGATGTGAGCAGGTTTTTAATTTTTCATATGCACAGCACACGTGTGTGAGCGTAAAATGTTAGGATGTGCTGCGCATGTGTGTGCAAATACGAACCCTGGGTAATACTTTATTACCAGCTTATGAGATGGTTACAAGAGAATGCGAAAAGGGTTTAAAAATTGACAGACACTTTAATTACCGGTTACAAACTTTTTATTACCAGCGCAGAATAGACCTGTTAAGCGAGAATACTTCCAGTTAAAGATATACAGTAAAATTTTCTTTCCAACCGAAGTAAAAAAAATTTTATTACCCTTTAAAGGTTTTGAAAACGCGAAACGGTGGAGAGAAGAACTGAAAAAATATAATTTTGTATGTGTTACTAGTAAAAATATTGTATGGGGGAAAAATCTGTCGCGTACGTTATGTCGCGTACGTTATTATAATTTTTTTTAATAAAAACTAACCAGAGATAATTTCTATTAAAAAATGGAAGGATTGTAAAGGTACATTATTTAGCTTAGTTTAGGAATTTTCAAAGAAAAGAAAAACTCTCATGATTAGCAGACTTTCGCATATATGTATATGTGCCTTAAAACCACTTCTTTTTTTGTCGCGTACGTTATCACCTTGTTTTTGAACGGATATTTTCCACACCAAAGTTTCGAGGCTGCTTATTTTTTTCTCAAACATAGTACTCTTTGGTTGCAACATAACCGTAATCTTTTTTTTCAGTAACTTCTATTTTTGATAGATTTACGCTACTCTATAAGCGTACGAATGTCGCGTACGGCTGTATGGAAACACCCATATGTAATATTTCTAAATCGAATATATTGAATTAAGTATTTCACCAGTCAGCCTAAAGCCTCTGCTGCTAGCGTTGTGTTTTGTGGTTTATATAATAATAGTAAGCTTTTTATAAAATAATATAAAATAAATAAATAAATTTCTAAGATTCATAATTAAATTACTAAAATCTTAATCACGAGACTGAAACATGGTACATAAGAATTTGGTACAAGAACTTTTATCCATTTACATACTGCTCAAGAACAATTATCCTTTTTCTTTATTGGCGCTGTAACCGCCTAAACGATTTTGGCCGAGTCCAAAACAGTACGTTTCTCTTCTGAAACCAAGTCCTTCTCCATCTGGTCTTTCCAACGCAGAGGAGACCTTCCTCTTCCTCTATTACCAGCATCATGGCCCGCGTTGAATACTTTCAGAGCAGGAGCATTTCTTTCCATTCGAACGACATGGCCAAGCTAGCGGAGCCGCTGAATTTAAATTTGCTGCACTATGGCCCCGATTATGATTCACAACTTTCAAGATAGTTGAGTTGTAAGTTGTAAGTTGGTATTGTGGGACACAACTCAACTCAACTTCGAAAATGTAGTTGTCTAGCACTAGCATTCTCGGGCTCATCGGTAAAATATAATTCGTAACTGATTTAAATTTTTTTGCTTTTCATTATTTTAACATCATAAAAATAAAATTATATTATGAAAATAACAAAATTTCTATCGAATTTACGACTTTTTCAATGGCAGTTGTGAACGGCAATAGCAATAAATAATTGAGTTGTATACGAGTTGAGTTGTCTCAGACACAACTCAACTAAGTTGAGTTGTGAACCATAATAGGGACCTATGTCTATGTCCTTGTAAAGTTCATACAGCTCATCGTAAAATCGTCTGCGGTATTCGCCATCGCCAACGCGTAAAGGTTCGCAAATCTTTCTCTCTGAAATTCCAAGAGCCGCTTCATCAAATGTTTTCATTGTCCATGCCTCCGCGCCATACACAACATAATATCCAGTGGGAGTCCGATAATGAAAAGTTAGTCCGAGTTGAGTATTTTGAGTTTCTGTTGGCGTGAAATAAGTTGCTGCGAGAAATGGGTATACGTTGCCGGCATGAATGGATTTATTATAGGGCCAAGAGCCGTTATGCC